GGGCGCCCCCCCGGCTGCTCTACCCCAGGTGTTCCCAAGTCAGCCGCTGCTGAAACTGACCAGTGGCTGACTACAGGAAGCCCAAGGCAGAGCAGCTCTGCCTCGGGCTTCCTGTAGCCAGCCGCTGGTCAGTTTCAACAGCGGCTGAATCTGGACGCCAGTTCCGACTTACATACAAATTCAACTTAAGAACAAACCTATAGTCCCTATATTCTGCGTAACCTGGGGACTGCCTGTAAAGCGTTTCATACGGTTTCACATGACGGCTGACTACAGGAAGCCCAAGGCAGAGCAGCTCTGCCTCGGGCTTCCTGTAGCCAGCCGCTGGTCAGTTTCAACAGCGGCTGAATCTGGACGCCAGTTCCGACTTACATACAAATTCAACTTAAGAACAAACCTATAGTCCCTATATTCTGCGTAACCTGGGGACTGCCTGTAAAGCGTTTCATACGGTTTCACATGACCTTCTTATCAAAATGGTTCACAGTCATGCTGGAAATGCATAGCAGGTGGGGTTCCAAAGGGGTCAGTTTTGGGATAAATTCTGTTCAATATCTTCATCAGTAGTTTAGATACTGGTATAGACAGTATGCTTATAAAGCTTGCAAATGCTACCAAGTTGGGTGTGGTTGCAGGTGCTTTGGAGAATAGGGTCATAATTCAAAATAATCTGGAGAAATGGTCTGAGGTAAATAGCATGAAGTTCAATAAGGACAATTGCAAAGTGCTCCACTTAGGAAGGAGTTCTGCAGAAAGGGAACTTGGGGTCATAGTGGGCCACTAGCTAAATGTGAGTCAACTGTGTGACACTGTTGCAAGAAAAAGCTAACATGATTCTGGGATGCATTAACAGGAGTGTTATGAGAAAGACACGAAAGTCGTTCTTCTGCTCAACTCTGTGCTGATTAGGCCTCAGTTGGAGTATTGCATCCAGTTCTGGGCACCACATTTCAGGAAAGATGTGGAGAAATTGGAGAAGGTCCAGAGAAGAACAACAAAAAAGGATTAATGGTCTAGAAAACGTGGTCTAGGAGGGACGACTGAAAGAACTGGGATTATTTAGTTTGGAAAGGAGAAGACTGAGAGGGGACATGATAGCAACTTTCAGGTACCTAAAAGGATGTTTCAAAGGGGAGGGAGAAAAATTATTCTTCTTAACCTCTGAGGATAGAACAAGAAGCAATGGGCTTAAATTGCAGCAAGGGAGGTTTAGGTTGGACATTAGGAAAAAGTTACTGTCACATGATTAAGTGTTAGCATAAATTGCCTAGGGAGGTTGTGGAATCTCCATCATTGGAGATATTTAAGAACAGGTTGGCCAGACATGTATCAGGGATGATCTAGATGGTGCTTGGTTGGCCCTGCCATGAGTGCAGGGGCCTGGACGTGATCTCTAGAGGTCCCTTCCAGTTCTAGGATTCGGTGGGTGGAAGGGGAGGTATGACCTGCAGTAGTGAGAGGAGGAGGCTGGGAGCCAGGATACTGGTTCTAACTCGACTCCAGAAGGGAAGTGTTGCCTACTGGGCAGAGCAAAGTTAGGGCATGTCTAATTGAAATGGCTCATTTGAACATTCTGAGACTATGGTTAGTTTTCAGACTGGAGTCAGAAAATTGGGGAAGGCTTCTAATTTTAGGCAAGTGATGAGGGCTCCCTTGCAAAGTGAGCGCTGGCGCATAGTGGGTATGAGTCTGTAACCCCCCCCCTCCCCCCGCGCTAGGGTGGCTTGGCTGTTTAGCTCCCACTTTAAACGCTTGCAGGCCCTAGTTTGATCCCTGGTGCCAAGCTGGTGGCCATTCCATGCACACACACACATACTTCCTATCAGCGGTTGTCCAGTTCCTGGGACTTTCTTCCCTGGACCACTGGGTCCCTGTTCATGGGAATCTGGTCCCATTCTAGAGGAGATCTGGAATACAGGGGAATCCCCAGCCTAGTCAGATCCAGCTAGTGTCTCATCTCCAACAGCGACCTATAGTGGCACATGTGGGGAGGGGGGTGTTCTATCCACTCACAATTGGTCCCATCCTGATTTCGAAGAGAACTTGGGCCAGGCTTGGGAGCCGTTGGCTGTTCCAACTCTGGTCCGTAGTCTGAGCCCTTGATGTCTCTCTCCAGCCTCCTAAATCCCTCTTCTCCACCCCTCCCCCACCCCGGGCATTTTTGTGCGTGCGCCTGTTCCTCCCCCTCTCAGCAGCTTTGCTCTCAAGCCTGTTTACATTCCCCAGCCGCACACGCAGTGCCATGCGGGGTAGGACGTGCTTGTCTGAGCTCCCTTCCGAGTCCTGTTCTGAACTAGAATGACTGTCGCTTCTACTAAAGGTACAGGCAGGAGGCACGCAGGGCCGGGCAGGGCCGCGCTGTTCTTAGTTACTTGTTTTGATCAGTTTTAGAAGGAGGCCACGTGGGCTTGGGGGTAGGGTCCTCGGTGGGGAGTTGTGATGTAGCGGGAACTGTATTCACTCTTGCAGTTGCTGAAAGTCACTGTATTCATGCTGTTTGCTTTGTTGGGTCATGTGTGATTCTACTGTCCTATACTGTTCTGGAGTGATGGTGGGGGGATGTGTGTGTGCGTGTGTGCCTCAGTTTCCCTGGGCAGTTCAACATTGCCTGGAAGGGGGGGGGGGAGCATGACTCACTGAAGAAGTGAATTTGGTCTCACACCTGAGAGCCAGGTGATAGGAGATAACACCTTTGCTGGGGAATCGGAACAAAGGAGGGGGCGGGGCTGCCTAGAAGGCTGAGACCAGTTGCTGGGTGTGTGAGTTTAGTTTTCTGCTGCTGTAGGGAGGAGGGAGTGTAGCTGGCTTGGGGGGCTCAGGGCCCCCTCGTCCCTAAGATGGATTGTACTGAAAGCTCCTGGTTCCTGTAACAAGTCTGCTATGCCGTGTCCCTGTCAACAAATACACCTTCTGTTCTACTTGTTGGCTGAGTCTCACATCTGACTGCGGATGGGGGTGCAGGGCTCGGTAACTACCCCACACTCTGTGACAGGAGTGAAGCTGCATTCCTGGCTCTAGGAGAGGTGTGGGGCCTGCCTGTTAGAGCAGGTGACTTGACGCCAGGACTCTTGTGTTCTGTTTGTGGCAATGACAGAGAAGTATATGACTGGAAGCCAGGACTCTTGGATTCCCTGCTCTGCCACTGATTTTCCTAGATGACCTTTAGCAAGTCATTTCCTCTCCCTTTGCCTTAATCTCCCCATATGTAGCCCCCCTCCACCTCACTGTCCTCCAACCTAGCCAAAACAATATTTGATCCTCCCCTGGGGGGAGAAGGTGAGAGAGAGAAAAAACCATGGCAGCTAGCTGCTAGGTTGCTTAATTCACACCTAGAAGGAGCTGACATGCAATTGTGCAGAGGAAGGTACTTGGATTGCAGTCTTTTTGGGGCAGGGGCTGTCATTTCATACAAGGGGTGTCTTGTGTTTACAATGGGGTCTCAGGCATGACTGGGGTTCCTAGGTGCTCCAAAAATTAAAATAGTAAGAGAAGGCACAATAACTTCTGTAGAATTTAAAGAGAAGGCACAATAACTTCTGTAGAGTCTAATAGAAGAGAGCTGTCTTTCCCCACCCCCACCCCGACCCCCACCCCCAAAGAGGATTTGAGGGGAGCTAATTCAGTGCTCTGAGCTCCTCATTTGGTAGTACAATTTCTTTTCGGTCTCTCTCCGGCAGAGCCACCCACCACACTGAATTCCACCGCTTGAGCGAAGAGAGTCGCTCTGCTCCCCGGCAGCAGTAGTAAACCATTATCCTCCATCACAGCAGCCCCCGGATGGGGACACAGCACACATGTAGTCATGCCAGCCGAGCTAATTCAGTGCTCTGAGCTCCTCATTTGGTAGTACAATTTCTTTTCGGTCTCTCTCCGGCAGAGCCACCCACCACACTGAATTCCACCGCTTGAGCGAAGAGAGTCGCTCTGCTCCCCGGCAGCAGTAGTAAACCATTATCCTCCATCACAGCAGCCCCCGGATGGGGACACAGCACACATGTAGTCATGCCAGCCCTGCCGGGGGAAGCAAGCCTTGCTTTGCTTTGCAGTCACTGGCCTGATTCTGAGATGGGCACTGGCTTCCTGGAAGGGCTGTCTAGGGAAAGGGAGACTGGCCTGTCCTCACCCCACCCCCACCCAAGCTGGAATCCTGTTGTCTTGTATACTTCCGCTAGGTTTCCATGGGCTACCGCCCCCTGCCCTCAGCTCCTCGCTGGCTCAGGCCAGCATGCTGAGTGGTGACATAGGCTTTCCCCCAGGGCTCCTAGAGCAGTGTTTCTCCCAGTGGGCTGTGGGCCGGCTTTGGGAAAGCCGCTAGTGGGCCTGAGCTGCTTTGTTTACCTAAATGCTCCGTAGCTCATGGCTCCGCTTCGATGTTTCCAGCCTAGTTCCCTGCTCTAACCACTAAACAATCCACACATCCCAGAGCTGAGGGTAGACCCCAGGAGTCCTGTTTCCAGATCCAGCCCCTCTTACACTCCCCTATATTGACAAGAGGGCTAAATTTACCAGGAATCCTGACTCCCAGCCCTCCATTTTGGCCTAGGCCACACTCCCCTTCCAGAGTTGGGACTGGATTCCAGTCTTCCCTCCCCCAAGCTTGAATTGCTAGACGCCTCTTCCTGGGAATGGATGCCAGGTCTCCCTGTTCCACCCCGCCTTTAACCACTTGCTTATACTCCCCTCCCGTTGTTGGCCCTTCCCTACATATGGACAATTGGTAACTGGCCTAGGACAATTCAATCAAGAGCTGTCAGCAGCTAACGGGCCGAAGGGGCGGAAAGTTCTTATCAGCTGACAGCGTCTGGGAACTCGAAAACAGGAAAGCGTCTGAGTTCATCCCGTTGGACCGGGGCGGTAGCTAGGAAGTTTGTACAGCAGGGGAGAAACAGGAGCCGGCAGGCTGGCCGCAAGCGCGGAAGGCATCCGAGCAAAGACGGGAACAGGTCTCTCCAACAGCAGGTGCAGAGGGTGAGTCTGGGGCAGCTAGAATGAGGTGGGGCTGATCCCCCAGAGAGGGGAATGCACAGTAGGGCCTGGGGCGGGATGGGCCTGCTTTGGCACTTTGGTTCTTTGATTGGGGATGAGCAGGGCTGGTAGGCATGGCGCTGAAGCTGGGCAGCATGATCTAGTGGAGATGGAATTGGGCCGAGCCTCAGCAAGGCTGGGTTCTATTCCTGGCGCTGCCACTGACCTGCTCCTTGACCTTGGGCAAGTCACTTCCCCTCTCTGCGCCTCAGTTTCCATCTTGCCCTGTCTGTTTTAGATTGGCCCCAATTGGAACAGCTTACGATACTCCCTCTAATCTTTTCCATGTGCAGAATATTTTTTTATTTGCACCAAGGCATGTGCAAATGTGCGCCACCAATAGAAACAAAAAGCTTAACTGTGCGCACTCTGCTAATTGGCTGGGCAGCATTTGAATCTCTCCCGAGTGGCTGCACAAGTGCCCAGCTGCCTGGGATTTCAATTCTTGGCTCTGCCACAAGCTCTTTGTGCAACCCTGGGCAAATCACTTAGTTTATGTCTAGTGGATGTGGATGTGATTTCTGCTTGAGGCATCGTAGTCCAGCTTGCTCCTGTCCCAGAACAGTGAAGTGGTGACCAGCACCTGCAGTCTAGACACATACCTTTAATCCTTCTGGGTCTTGTCAGGGCTGTTCCCCACTTTGGCACTCCAAGTGAAGAAGGTGGGGGCCTGCAAGGGATCTTAAATACCTTGCCCCTATAGGCTTCTGCTTAAAAAAAACCCAAACTCCCTAAGGTTACAGATTCCCTGGCCTTGAGAGAGAGGCTGCCACCATCAAGTGAATTAAGAAAAATCCTGAAAACCAGGAAGAAACACTTGAACTTCTTCCCAAGAGGTACCCCCGAGCTCTTTTTGCCACAAGATAACTTGAAAAAAGAAACAAAAAAACACGGAAAACAAACTGTCTCTCTGATAGCTGACCCCTCGGGCTAGGCAGGCGCACACAAAGACCTTCTGTTACTTTCCAGACACAAGAATCAAATCATTGCATTAAAAAGGTGATTTTATTAATAAAACAAAAAGGTAGACTTGATAAAGTGCACTTGGTTGCTAGGTGTTTTATAGAGCAACAAAGAAAAGAACAGATCAAACCACAAAGAAACATAGTCCTTTGAGCTGTAGCTTGGATATGGGGAAAGGAAGTTCACCCAGAAAGTTTAACTAAACTACAAAATAAAAAAAAACAAAACCCCTGGTTGTGATTAAATATATATTCTTCTATCTACTCATGATCCATACTGATCTGTACTTCAAGGCCCCGTCTATTCCCGTACCCAATTTTTCTTGTAAGCATGGTCTTTCTGTTTGATTACTTCATCTTGTTTCCTCCAGCTGCTAATTTAGAACTCACACAAAGGAAGAGCAACCAAGTATCTCTATTCAATTTACATTTCAACTGTCTTTCCGCCAACATCCCCTAGCTACCTGAGTTTAACCCTCTAGTCACTATGAGGAGCCAGTGCTCCTCCTATCCATCTCAGGCCTCAACAGCCTATCTGTAAAATGGGATTAATTATTTTAATAAGGTTAGTTCCTTTGTCCTGGTTTTAGATACAAGACAGGGACTGTCCCGTCCTAGGTGTCAGTGCAGTGCCTAACACCATCAAACCCTGATCTCAGCCGTGGTCGCTGTGCTGTTGTACTAATAACAACACTACAAAGAGCAGAAGGGGTGTTTTTGATCTTGTGGTGCTGGTAGGAAAATTCTCTCTGTCTTTTTCAATGGATCTGGGAGCTAGCGAGGGTTGCCAACTATATCACTGTGTAAACCCTAAAACCTTTACTCTGCCCCCTGTCCTGCCCCTTCTCCGAGGCCCCAGTCACACTCTCCCCATCCCTGCCCCTGCCTCTGGCTCTCACTTCCTCACCTTCTCACTCTCACCAGGTCGGGTTGGGAGTTTAGGTGAGGGAGAGGGTGTGGAGTGCAGACTCTGGAAGGGAGTTTGGGTGTGAGAGCTGGGAACTAGGTTGGCGCAGGTGATTGAGGTGTGGAAGAGGGCCAGGGGTCAGCACTCATCCCAAGCGGTGTGGCTCCCAAAGGTACATCCCTCTGGCAGTGCCTTTTCCTGGGCAGGGGGAGGTTGTGGTCTCTGTAAGCTTGGCGCTTGTGCAGCCTCCCAGCTGATTAGCAGAGCGCCCAAAGCTAGGTGTGTTCTTTCTCCTGGTGGTGCCCATTCACACTAGGGATGCTAAATATCGGTTAATTGAATAGTCGAATAACCTTATTGGTTAGTCGATTATTCTATAGTCCCTGAGGGCAGGGCTGGCAGCCACTGTATCTGAGGCAGCAGCGT